AACAATCAAATGATTTACAATTACCCTTGAAAAGTTCCAAAACCAAATAGAACTACTTAAATTATGATTACACTTGACCAATATATTTGGCAGTTTTTGCCGTTATTGTTAATCTGAATTAAAGATAGGATAAATGATAAAAATATGATAATGCATATCACACACAAGTGTCTATTATACGCAAATAAATAAGTCTTGTATACATTGATTAATTGGAAAGGGTCCTAATTGGGATTGTTCACTAGCCAATATATTAGCAAATATTCCCATGGGCGCTTATTAGAGCGAGGCGCTTATTACGTCAAATACTTAAGTTCTGTTTTTATGTATAAGAACCTATTTTATGCAATTTGCATTGCCTTGTTTACCTTTCCTTATGTTTTGATGTAATGCAAACATTTGAGAAAAATTCAGGTGAGCCTGCCTTATGGCACTACAGGAATTGTTTTCAGAAGATCAATTACAATTTTGTATTTTCTGTACAATTTACTGTTTGCTATGGCTTTTTTACATTGGTTAACATGGTTTGGTTAACAGTTGCTTGATAAATTGTCATTACCTTACTCATTGAGAAAACAAATTTTTACCCTTTGTCAATATATGTGTGTTTCTTATATTTTTAATAACAAGCTTTTAAAGATGTTATAAATTGTTTCAGGTACCTGGATTTCACAATGACACCAGATCAGACAAGTCATACAAAGGACTCTCCGGATGATGAATAATCCTCCCCAGAACAACTAACAGGTTCACCTCAGAAAGTGATGATTCTGAATGAATAATGCCACATCAGTGTGATTCTGTAGGTTGTTTTATTACGACATTAATCAAGTCTAAAGGAATCAATACCACAGCAGTGAGACTGTTTATGTGGTGTACACTGACGCTGACTATACAAATCTGAATGACTTTTGTGGTTTACTGCACAAACATAATTGACTTTAGATATTCTTCTACCTTGAAATTCTTCTGAGATTTGACTAATTTGTTTATTTAGAAAATGGCATTGAAGCATCTGTTTCTGTTTTTGAATGTTCTTGCAAACACCTCTGGTTACTGAACCAATGAAATGTCATAAAATCAATAAATATGATTTTTTATCATAACAATTTTTTTGTTTTGCTTCTTTAAAGAAATATGATATTGATCATTCATAACATAGGTGCTAACATATATCAAATATACTAATGCCCTGAATGTTTTCCTACAATTAATACAGCTCACTGAACGAAGTTTTTAGTTCCATGTCAGTAGAAAAGTTACATTGATATTTTTATGTACCAGTACTTTATTAGGTGTTTTCTGTGGATGCCATTAGTCTTATGCACCCATTTGGGTTAATGATATTCTGTTTCGAACTTCAATGAAACTCGTCTGTCAAGATGTAACAAGTATTGATACAGTTCCAAAATAAACTTTTAATCTCTCCAGGAACAAAGGCCCAAGTGAGCACATAGCCAATGACTTTCATTTTTTTGTCAGAGTGAGTATGGTGTTATGCCACTTTATGAGCAAAATTCCAACAATATCATGATGGGTGACACCAAGCAATGTACCGATGTGGTGAATCGAATGCTTCAACCACTAGGCTAAAACAAACTGGGAATATGAAGATGATATGTAAGGATACCATCATACCAGGACTGAATGCTTTTCATTTAATACGCTGAACATCTAAATTGAAATATATATGAACTTGAAAAATGTTTTCACCAAAAGTACATGCCCATAGATCTCAACTTCAAGGGGATATTTACAACTAAAATAGCACAGAATATTACTACAGCTATCTGCTATGCCCAGGCTAACATTATTTACTAGGAGAAAGACATCTCGAAAAATTGCATCCGGATACCTGCCGGATACCTGCCGGATACCTTCAGCAATGTTCAATTTTCATGGTTAGTTTCCAATATATTTTTAGGTGTTTCACACTTAATTGAACAAAATGCACCCCCCAAATTGTGACATGTTTTTGGAAACTCAGAATGGGGTATCCGGTGCCGGATCCCTGGACACCCAGATTGAGGTATCCGGTGAGGTATCCGGTGCCGGATACCCGGATTCCAGGTGACATACTTTCCGGTGAGGTGTCCATGCCGGATACCACAGATCTGGTATCCGGCAAGGTATCTGCCACCGGATACCCGGACGCGTTTTGGGTAAGTGTCCGGTGGTATCCGGATACCGGAAACTGCATTTTTTTTGCTGTGATAATAATATCTACAATAAACATGAAGTTTAATTACGATTCGATTGATCACTCAGCCGCCGAGACCAAAATAGTCATATTAATAGGCTTATAGTATTTATGTTGGGCATATTTCCACACCACTCGGGGCCATGCTCAAAGCGCTATTATTACCACGGTCACTGGTTCAATGTGCACTCAAGAATCATTCCCAGCTCCCTAGGGAGTATACAACCCAAGATGCCTGCTAGGGGGTTTACAACCACATGTTCATCTCATCCTTCCGGGTACCCATTCACTGCTGGGTGAGAAGAGGCACATTGCGAACAAAGTCACTTGCCCAAGGAGACGCCACAGTTGTTACATGTGTTTCAGGCTGTGGCAGAACGGAAGTCCTAGAAACTGTGAGGAGCAAGGACTCTTCCCTACCGACGCTGATAGCGTATATCTTTCCGATACCTTTTGCGATCGTATCCTTATCAATAGTATGTATACCACCCGACGATGTGTCATAGACTAAATGAGTAATATGTAAAATTGTATACTTTCACATATTTGACTTAATTCATCCCCGTCCTGATTTCTACGTCCCATTTCCCAGACGTCCAAATTTGGAAGTTGTAACACATGCCAGTGTTACTTCCTGTACCCCAGCGCGAAACGAGTGTGTTTCAATAGATGCGCTATTTTTTTATTATCGTCCCTGTTAGGTGATTTAAATATGGTGGTAAAATGCATTGTGGAAGCGAACATTCTGGGTATTCTTACATACAAAATACAGTCGACTGTGTCATAGGGAGTCACTCATGACTTCTACTATAACCAAAGAGAATGTGTTTGCTGAGATATTGCTCATACGACATTAATTGTACCTCACTCACTTGGAACACAGAAGTATCATTATAATAATCTCCTTAAAATCAAATCTTTTACTCCGATACCTCTTTCCATGATGATCTGAGTTAAGAGGTCGAGTCAGGTGATCAGCCAATCAGCGTCGAGGCTTTTATACTTTCTCACGTGTGAGCGAAGCATTCAGACAAGCATATCTGAATTCTGTAACTCGAAAAGGAACATAATCGAGGAGATCCGATAGCTAAAAAGCCGCGTTAACATATAGTTGTGGATTTTTTAAATCATTATACCGCCATGGCATCTACACCAAAAAAGGTGCATTATTCGAGGGTCATTTTGTTTTCTGTGGTGGATTTCTTTAAAATTTGCTGAGATCGAAATTTCCGAATCTTGGGGATAGAAAAATAACCAATATATGTAAGAGAAAGCTGACATCTGACTAGGCCTCGCATCCTTCACTTTGATGGGGCGGTCACAGCTCGCTCAGTGTTCTGATTTAAGTGAGATTGATATATAATACATAAAGAAACCCAGTAGGTAACATCTCTGTTTGAAGTATGTAGATCAATTTGAAACAAACAACGAAAGTAATAGAAAACTGTTTAGTGTCTCACATCAAATCATTCAAGACAGTGTTCATCTTCGACCAATTGAATTGTCTTATGTTATAAACATGATATTTTAAATCTGAAGTAAAGTATGAACATTATGTTGTTACGGAAGCATATAAAGAGGCATGTGACATTTATTCCAAAAATGCATTTCGGGATTTCTTCTAATATGTTTTTTATGTACCGCTAAATGTACCTGTCGGGTGTCACCTTAAGAACATACAAGTTTATTTATTGTCAAGGTGTACAAAGGCATGGACTAGCTCCAAAGTCATATTATGTGTGTCTACAACATAGATTAATGCAGGGTCAGGGTTGGACGACTATTTACATCAAATATAACTATGATATGTCCCCTTGAAGTTTCGGGTCTTCTATTTCTTTTGTCTCGCAGATCAGCCAGCCCTACACAAATCATACTGGATTTGTCTACAACATAGATCAACACTGGGGGAGGGATATGTTCATATAAACTGTCACAGACAAAACAGGTGGATTTGTTTCCTGCGGGCTGGACACAAAAGTGTGATACATACTATATGGCTGAGATATTGCCGACACCACATTAATTCTACCTCACTCACTTCGATAACATAATCTGTACTCCTACACGATTCCTCTCTCCGTTGAGATCTGAGGCAGGTGGTCGCGTCAGGTGAACTTTCTCATCAACCAATCAGCGGCGAGGCGTCCATATTCTCGGCACCAGTGACAAAAGCATCCAGACTAGCAAATTTGATTTCTGTAACTCGAAAACGAATATAACTGAGGAGTTCCGACTGCTAAAATGTATAACCGCACTATTGCTGTTGTGGATATGTTTAACATCCACCCGTTTCTGAGCGCCATGGCATCTATACCCAAAACAGGGCACTGTCGAGGGTATTGTTGTTGTCTATGGTGGTACAGAAACGAAGTGGAACAGAAATAAAGCAGATGCCTCTTACAAAACTTACACATGAACGTCTCACGCATCCTAATTGTGTTGATCGGTCGGTCAAAGTTCGCTCAGTTTTTACCAGATCATGGCGTTACCGTCTGCGGAGATGTATGGGCGTAATCTTGAGTGAGACTGGTATATACAAAGAAACCCAGTTGTTAAAAACATAACTGTACCACTACGGACTGATCTTTATCATACATCAAATCATTTATGACACTGTTTATTGTCTTTCACCAACTGAATTGTCTTATCATATAAACATGATATTTAGAATCTGACGAAAAGTATTAACATGATGCGGTTTCGGTATGGATATCTGCGTATGTGTACATGATGTTACTGTATTTCTGTGTTACTGTAGGGTGTGACCGTTAAAACATAATTTCTATTTACTGTCAAGGTCTACAGACCTGCTCTTTGGGAACAGAGATCAGCTCTAAACAAATCCTACTGGATGTGTCTACAACACAGATCAACACAGGGGGAGGGATGTGTTCCTGTAGACTGACTGTGTCACAGAAATCACAGCTGGAAGTGTTCCCGAATGACTTGACACAACAGTGTGATACATACATGACAATACAGAAGTGGAGGGCTAGTTCAGAGTGTACAAATGGTATTATTCAAACTATACTTGGACAGACTCGCACTATCAACACTGGTGAGGAGATATGGATACTGGTGGTGGCCACAAGACCTGGAGCCAGAGGATTGTCTGGACAGCTGCAGTTCAGGATTAAATCGTCATCAGGTTAGAAATATGAGGGCTCAAAAATGATCGAAGTTATGATATTGTTTTGACTTAAAATGTATTAATAACGTACATATTGATATAGATGTATATATTTCATTTAAAAAGAAACACTGGTAGACAATGCACAACAAATGGAGTTGTTCAAACTGTACCTGCACAGTCTCTCACCGTCAACACTGGTGAGTAGATATGGATACTGGTGGTGGCTACACCTGGATCCAGAGGATTGTCAGGACAGCCGCAGTTAAAACTTCAGAAGTGAACAAAAACCAAATGTATTATGTTAATGGTGTTCTCAATGAAACTTTAATTTTGCTTCCTTGAAATCCTAAAGAAATGTATTTTCTATAAATAGGAAGGACCCGTGTACTAGTATTCTGATTTCGCAAGATCCCGGAAATTATTTCATAATAATGATATTTATATTCTGAAGCATTCACATCACATCCTCAAGGGGAATCTCAAAAGAATTGAAGACAATAGTATTGATGCTTCGTTTTCATTTCAACAGTCCAGCTAAAGATAGAGTGTTTTGAGCCAAACACTAACAGTTCCACAACTACAACTCTTTCAACAGCCTCGGTATCAACATCTTCGTCGACATTTACTACAACCACTTCTCCAACCAAAGAGAGACTTATATCCACATCCCAGCCTACCACAGAGACACAACGTCCAACCACTATTACTCCTCAAGGACAAACGACATCTTTGTCTACTGGAGTAACTGCAGGGGCAGAGACTACTAAAGTTACTAAAACTCAGATCCCTAAGAAAATCTTTCCAGGTACAAATTTCTTAAAATGTTTTTGACCCATGTGGTTTGAAGCGTGATTGCTTCAAACCCTATCATGATTGACGGTATGTGGATAACACAGTTATTTCTATAGAATACACCGATTCTTTCCTACACCTGAAATTAACAAGAATATTTGTATTGCTCATACTCATATTACAGAATATGTGTCATAAGTCATACATGACACACTCATGCATGCCCTCATTATATGCCCTTATTTTCCTGCAATCGGTAGAGTGGTAATTCAGGAATAGTTTTATCAACTCAATAATAAAATATGTTCAACTACTGGTGAAAAGTGTTATTGAATGTTCCTTGAAACTTCATTGTATTAAGGGAATGTTTCCTTGATGTCTTAACAAGGAAATGACTCTACAATATTTCAGTTACACTGCAGTGTGTAATTATAATCCGAGAAGAAAACCCAAAGCGATGCTCGTGGTAGGTTACAGGTGTAATGTGAGGCACAGAAGCATCCACCAAGGGTCATAATCAAAACATATCTGTTCACATAACACTTCGGAGCAGTCCTTGGATCTTGGTAGTAACTAATATATGAGACAGTGTCCACATAGTAAGGTTATAATGTCTCTGATTGTTATAACTTTATGGGTTTTATCGCAGGTGGTATCTTTGCTGCTGGAGTTGCTACAGGTGCCGTGCTGGTCGTCATTGCTGGTGGGCTAAATGTCGCCATATCAAGGTACAGAAATTGAAACCAAATGACTCTAAATGTATGCTTTGTCAACACGAATGGTCAAGGCTCATCGGTATATGTAGACAAACATGGAGATTCTATGTAGCCGTTGATATTAGTGGACAATGTTGCTTTAATTAAACATGATTAATTATGGTTTGTTTTACAGAAGATGGTGGAGGTCCCGTCAAAAGAAGTCTGATGATATTCCAGTCTCTGAAGTCCACCCCACCTACTCAGGGCTCAAACCAAGAACACAGGAGCCGAGTAACACCTATGACATAATAGATCAAAACCCCTCAAAGGGCACAGCCAATCCATACATCAATGTGACATAGATGTACTGCAATTTGTTTTGCGTCTCGCTTAACGAGAGAAGGGTTAATCTTGTACCCCTGTTACCACAATTATTTTAACATTGATTGGATGCATCTAACATATTCAATCTCAGTGTATGTTGTGTGTATATGAACAACCGCGTACGTTCAAATCTGGAGCCTGTGTTTCACAATGTGTGGATATGGACATCCGTACATGTGCATGTAGATCCAAGGACTTTGTACCACATGCCAGGACTAATAAGGACATTACGTGCACTGCAAATCAAATAAATGCCTACGCCTGAAGCTGAAAGCCACGAGAGTTAACGCAGCGAGTGAGAGCTCTTGGTTTTACGCCAACTGTAGCAATATTCCAACAACATCTTGGCGGGCGACACCAAGGCTTCACACATTGTATCCATGTGGGAATCGAACATGGACCTTTGGCGTGACGACCGTATGCTTTAACCACTAGGCTATCCCATCGCCCCTAACACAGTGGATCCTGGTCATATGCACAGGAATAATTCATAATGTCATTAACGTTGTTCATGTGTCCACATACTTGTGAACGTCTGTGGATATTCGTTATCATTCTTGTGGAAGGGAAAACTAATGTCGTCATTGGCATGCAAAAGAAGTCCATCTTTTACTAATTTGATACTTGGCTAGCAGTTTTTCGTTCGTCCTGTTCAAACATAATGATTCATTGTCTTTTCTCACCATACAACATTGACCTTAGCGCCGTGTTGCTGCTTTGCATCGAGTATATAGACTGGCTATATAGGATGAGGCCATGCAGTATGATAATAAGGGTTAGTGTTAAAGAGCGATGTTTGTAGAGATGTTTCTGAGTAGAAAGGGAGATTCTGATCACTTGCACAGGAACAATTCATAATATTATTTCACGTTGTTCTGTGTCTTAATACTTGTCAACGTCCGTGGAAATAATGTCGTCATTGTCATACCGAACAAGTCAATCGTTTACTAATTTGATTATAGGCGAACAATTTTTCGTTCGTCTTGTTCAAACATTCAATCATTATGTCTTTTCTTACAACATGAGGCCATGCAGTGTGGTAATACCGGTTAGTGTTATAGAGTCATGTTTGTATATAGGCCTTCTGAGTAGAAAGAGAGGGACGGATGACCAAGTTGTCCACGACGGCGCAATGGTTTATCAGCCCACACTCGTTAGTTTCACCAAAGCTGTAACACTTGCATCACATTGGGCGTTTCTCTCATACAGTTCAAAGCAGAGTTAACCCTGCGATAACCCTATAACACTACTTTCTTATTTCATCAGGGTACAACACAACTTTATAACTACTAGTATAACATTGTTATAATCACAACATGAGTGTTTTATATAAGGGATCAACAACGTCCCAAAATGTGATTTAATACACACGAAGAGGAATATTTATCTTACGAAATACTGACGTACGGACGTTAACGTCTTGTTCTGTTTATACACATACGGCAACACAGCTATACAAGTAGTAACAATGACTCGTTTGACATCGTATCTATTATACACTTACTTCCTGCTGGTAGTAAACATAACAGCAAATTTCTGTACTTTGTATTCCCAAGGCTGTAACATGGGCGTATACTAGTATGTCACCACCGGCCGTGTCCTTGGAGTGCTTTTAACGATCTATAATAAACTCCTTGACTGACGCATGTTTATGGGAGACTAAACAAGAATAAACCTGGTGTAAATGGAGGTTTTATGTGATACTCGCTATGGAGATTAAGCGTGACATAAACTAACAGCTGGTCTGTTTAAGTGATGCAAACGGCAAGGAGGGCAACATATGAGGGTGAGGAAGTAGTGGAAACGGTGTACCGAGTACTGGGTAATTATAAAACAAACAAGTCTGTGCTGTTTCACATGAAGGATTGTTTGTGTTTTGAGGCATGTTCGTGTACCTATTTCTGTGCAACAATAAAAAACGAGTTATTTCTAGTAGATATTCTTTGACTAAATATCTAGATGTGTTTACTATTCTTTGCGAAGGTGGAATTCAGAATGATTAAATTGACAATTCTTGAAATAGAGACAAGAATTTTGTTTTGTTTCTTCGTTAATCTGGACCCGGTTAGTCCGGAAATCCCTCTAAAACATTATACTGTAGTCAATATTACATAACCCTGAAAATGTCTATTCGGGCGATTGTTAGGAAAGGAACAGTTGGGAATAACAAGGTTTCACTGAAAATGTTTGTGGGATATCAGATTATACACAAAAGCGAGATTGGTTATCATACAAAGACCAATAGTATTTGTAACAAGGCCACTGGGACATAACTCAAAGGTTGCTATCCAGGATCCCACAACCATCAACTTCCTGGTTGGATACGAATGTCACCAGACGTATTTCACTACAGAGAAGATCATCTAAAATTTGATCATCATGGACGTCTTGTTGACTCTCGTTGTCCTCACACTGCCGTCAGTAACCTCAGGTAAGAATTCAGCCATATACTAGCAATTATGTTTAACTTATACACTATGTAATAGGCGCTCAGTTAACATTGCGCTTCACGTGTCAGGTATTGGTTTTGTACGTATGCCACCCATACATTATTAGGTCATCTACCTATGTGAAATCTATCTATAAACACGTGAGTAGATGTCCGAGTTGCCCATAAAGACCCAGGATAGTCTTCACGTTTTTATTTGTTGAACGAGTTCATTGCAGTACATATGCTGAGTATTCTATCAAATTTGATACTCTTTCGTGTTGTTGGTCAGAGAACATAATAAGATCTCAAATATACATGAAGTTAAATTACGATTCGATTGATCATCCAGCCGCCGAGACCAAAATAGTCATAATAATAGGCTATTTATATTGCGCATATTTCCACACCACTGCTCAAAGCGCTATTATTACCCCGGTCACTGGACCAATTTGCACTCCAGAAAATCCCAGGTCCCTGGGGGGTATACAACCCAAGATGCCTGCTAGAAGGTTAACAACCACATGTTCATCCCATCCTTTCGGGTACCCATTCACTGCTGGATGAAAAGAGGCACATTTCGAACAAAGTCACTTGCCCAAGGAGACGCCACATGTGTTACATGTGCTTCAGGCTGTGGCAGTAGAAAGGTCCTAGAAACTGTCAGGAGCCAAGCTGCCGAAACGCGGTCACCCATTCAAGGAAGCTCCGCGACCGACGCTGATAGGGTATCTCTTTCCAATACCTTTTGCGATCGCATCCTTATCAATAGTATGTATACCACCCGACGATGTTTCATGGACGAAATGAGTAATATGTAAAATTGTATACTTGCACATATATGATGAGTTCATTTGACGTAACTCCGATCCACCCCGTCCTGTTTTCTACGTCCCATTTCCCAGACGTCCAAATGTGGAAGTTGTAACACCATAGTGTACTTATAAGACAAGCCATTGTCGCTTCCTTTTCCCCAGCGCGAAACGAGTGTGTTTTAACAGCTGCGCTAATTTTTAATTATTATCCCTGTTAGGTGATTTAAATCTGGTGGTAAAATGTTTGCATTGTGTAAGCGAACATTCTGGGAAATAAAGACGATCTGTGATTGTTACCGATTCTAGAATTCTTACATAAAAACACAGTCGACTTTGTCGTAGGGAGTCACTCATCACTTCTACTATAACCAAGTTTGCTGAGATATTGCTCATACGACATTAATTGTACCTCATTCACTTAGAGCACAGAAGTATCATCAAAATAATAATCTCCTTAAAATCAAATCTTTTACTCCGATACCTCTCTCGTGATGATCTGAGACAGGAGGTCGAGTCAGATGATCAGCCAATCAGCGTCGAGGCTTTTACACTTTCGGCACGTGTGAGCGAAGCATTCAGGCAAGCATATCTGATTTCTGTAACTCGAAAAGGAACAAAATCGAGGAGATCCGATTGCAAAAAAGAGTAAAGCCGCGCCAATACATAGTTGTGGATACTTTAAACATTATGCCGCCATGGCATGATAGAAAAATAACGCATGTATGTAAGAGAAAGCTGACATCTGGCTTGCCCTCGCATCCTTCATTTTTTTTTCGCGGTCACAGCTCGCTCAGGGTTCACCTGACGCCACCTTCTGTTGTGTATCGGAGTGGAAGATCTGATTTGAGTGAGATTGATATACATAAAGAAACTCAGTAGGTACAATCACTGTTTAATGTCTTTCAATCAATTTGAAACAAACAACGAAAGTAATAGAAAACTATAACACTGCAGAATGTTTAGTGTCTCACATGAAATCATTCACGACAATGTTTATAATTATCTTCCACCAATTGAAGTGTCTTATGTTATAAACATGATATTTAGAATCTGAAGTAAAGTATGAACATTATGTTGTTATGGAAGCATATGAAGAGGCATGTCACGTTTTTTCCTAAAATGCATTTCGGGATTTCTTCTAATATGTTTTTTATGTACCGCTAAATGTACCTGTCGGGTGTCACCTTAAGAACATACAAGTTTATTTATTGTCAAGGTGTACAAAGGCATGGACTAGCTCCAAAGTCATATTATGTGTGTCTACAACATAGATTAATGCAGGGTCAGGGTTGGACGACTATTTACATCAAATATAACTATGATGATACTATATGTCCCCTTGAAATTTCGGGTCTTTTATTTCTTTTGTCTCGCAGATCTTCACACCTAGCTGTTCCTAAGGGACACCGACCAGCCCTACACAAATCACACTGGATTTGTCTACATCATAGATCAACACTGGGGGAGGGATATGTTCATATAAACTGTCACAGACAAAACAGGTGGATTTGTTCCCTGCGGGCTGGACACAAAAGTGTGATATATACTATATGGCTGAGACATTGCCGACACCACATTAATTCTACCTCACTCACTTCCATCACAGAAATAACATAATCTTTACTCCTACACGATTCCTCTCTGCGTGGAGATCTGAGGCAGGGGGTCGCGTCAGATGAACTTTCTAATCAACCAATCAAAGTCGAGCCTTCCATTTTCTCGGCACCAGTGACAAAAGCATTCAGACAAGCTATTTTACTTTCTGTAACTCGAAAATGAATATAACTGAGGAGTTCCGACTGCAAAAATGTAAAACCGAATTATTGCTGTTGTGGATGTGTTGAACATCCACCCGTTTCTAAACGTCATGGCATCTATACACAAAACGGGGCACTGTCGAGGGTAACTGTGTTGTCTATGGTTGTACAGAAACGAAGTGGAACAGAAATAAAGCAGATAACCTCCTACAAAACTTACATATGAACGTCTCACGCATCCTAACTGTGTTGATTGGTCGGTCAAAGCTCGTTCAGCTTTTACCTGAGGTTTCCGTCTGTGGAGCTGTATGGGAGTAAACTTGAGTGAGACTGATATATACAAAGAAACCCAGTAGTTAAATACACAACTGTACCACTATCGACTGATCTTTGTCATAGATCAAATCATTTATGACACTGTTTATTGTCTTCCGACAACTGAAATGTCTTATGATATAAACATGATATTATTTAGAATCTAAAGAAGAGTATCAACATAATGTGTTTTGTCGATATGGATATTGGCGTATGTGTACATGATGTACTGTTTTGCCGTGTAACTGTAAGGTGTGATCGTTATAACATCATTTGTATTTACTGTCAAGGTCTACAGACCTGCTCTTCTGGGACAGAGACAAGCTCTAACCAAGTCCTACTGGATCTGTCTACAACACAGATCAACAGAGGGGGAGGGATGTGTTCCTGTAGACTGACCGTGTCACAGACAGCACAGGTGGATGTGTTCTCTGATAGCTGGACACAACAGTGTGATACATACATGACCATAGAGAAGTGGAGGACTAGTTCACAGTGTACAAATGGTATTGTTCAAAGTATAACTGGACTGATTCACACTGTCAACACCGGTGAGGAGATATGGATACTGGTGGTGGCTACGCCTGGAGCCAGAGGACTGTCTGGACAGCTGCAGTTCAAGCTTAAATCATCATCAGGTGAGAGATGTGAGGGGTCAAAAACAATCGAATCGAAAATATTGTTTTGCCATAAAACTGTATTAATTATATACATATTGATATAGATGTATGTATTCCATTTAAAAAATAAAAATTGTAGATAATATGATACAAATGGAGTTGTTCAAACTGTACCTGCGCAGTCTCACCCTGTCAACACTTGTGAGGAGATGTGGCTATTGGTGGTGGCTACACCTGGATCCACAGGATTGTCAGGACAGCCGCAGTTAAAACTTAAGGCAACTTCGGAAGTGAACAAAAACCTAATGTATTATGTTAATGGTGTTCGCAATAAAACTTTAATTTTGCTTCCTCAAAATCCTAAAAAAATGTAGTTTCTATAAATAGGAAGAACCCGTGTAATAGTATTCTGATTTCGCAAGATCCAGGAAATTATTTCTTTATAATGATATTTATATTCTACGGGGCATTCACATCACATCCTCAAGGGGAATCTCAAAACAATTGAAGACAATAGTATTGATGCTTCGTTTTCATTTCAGCAGGCCAGCTAAAGATAGAGTGTTTTGAGCCAAACAGTAACAGTTCCACAACTACAACTCTTTCAACAACCTCGGTTTCAACATCTTCGTCGACATTAACTACAACCACTTCTCCACAAACAACAGCAGTAACGACAACTACAGAGAGACTTATATCCACATCCCAGCCTACCACAGAGACACAACGTCCAACCTCCATTACTCTTCAAGGACAAACGACATATTTGTCTACTGGAGTAACTGCTGGGGCAGAGACTACTAAAGCTACTACAACTCAGATCCCCAAGAAAATCTTTCCAGGTACAAATTTCTTAAAATGTTTATTACTCATGTGGTTCAAAGCGTAGCAATGACACGCCATAATAATGATTTCGTGAGTCGTTTTCTATCAGACGATTTCTTCAAACTCCATTATGGTTGAAGGTATGTGGAAAACACAGTTATTTCTATAGAAGACACCGATTCTTTACTACACCTAAAATTAACATGTCAAGAAGATTTGAATTGCTCATACTCATTTCTCAAAATATGTGTCATAAGTCATGCATGACACACTCATGGATATAGTGCCCTCATTATATGCCCTTACTTTCCTGCAATCGTTAGAGAGTTAATTCAGGAATAGTTTTATCAACTCAATAATAAAATATGTTCAACTACTCGTGAAAAGTATTATTGAATGTTCCTTGAAACTTCATTGTATTAAGGGAAAGTTTCCTTGATGTCTAAACCAGGAAATGACTCTACAATATTTCAGTTACACTGCAGTGTGTAATTATAATCCGAGAGGTAAACCCAAAGTGATGCTCGTGGTAGGTTACAGGTGTAATGTGAGGCACAGAAGCATCCACCAAGGGTCATAATCAAAACATATCTGTACACATAACACTTCGGAGCAGTCCTTGGATCTTGGTAGTAACTAATATATGAGACAGATCCATCCCGTGTGTCCACATAGTAAGGTGTTATAACGTCTGTGATTGTGACAACATTATGGGTTTTATTGCAGGTGGTATCTTTGCTGCTGGAGTTGCTACAGGTGCCGTGCTAGTCGTCATTGCTGGTGGACTATACGTCGCCATATCAAGGTACAGACATTGAAGCCAAATGACTCTATAAATGTATGCTTTGTCAACACAAATGGTCAAGGCTGATCGGTACATGTAGACACACACGGAGATGTAACCGTTATTAGAAGTGGATAATGTTGCTTTAATTAAACATGATTAATTATGGTTTGTTTTACAGAAGATGGTGGAGATCCCGCCAAAAGAAGTCTGATGATATTCCAGTCTCTGAAGTCCACCCCACCTACTCAGGGCTCAAACCCAGAACACAGGAGCCGAGTAACACCTATGACATAATAGATCCAAACCCCTCAAAGGGCACAGCCAATCCATACATCAATGTGCCATAGATATACTGCAATTTGTTTTTAGTCTTGTTTCACGAGAGAAGGGTTAATGTTTTACCCCTCGTTGTACCCCTCGTTACCACAATTATTTTAACATTGATTGGATGCACCTAACATATTCAGTCTCACTGTATGTTGTGTGTATATGAACAAACGCGTGCGTTCTAATCTGGAGAATGTGTTTCACAACGTGTGGATATGGACTTCCGTACATGTGCATGTAGATCCAAGGACTCTGTACCACACGCCAGGACAAATAAGGACATTACGTGCACTGCAAATCAAATACATGCCTACGCCTGAAGTTGAAAGCCAAGAGAGTTAACGCAGCGAGTGAGAGTTCTGGGTTTTACGCCAACTGTAGCAATATTCCAGCAACATCTTGGCGGGCGACACCAAGGCCTCACACATTGTATCCATGTAGGAATCGAACATGGAGCTTTGGCGTGACGACCGTATGCTTTAACCACTAGGCTATCCCATCGCCCCTAACACAGTGGATCCTGATCACATGCACAGGAATAATTCATAATATCATTACACGTTGTTCATGTGTCTTCATTCTTGTCACCGTCCGTGGATATCCGTTACCATTCTTGTGGAAGGGAGAACTAATGTCGTCATTGTAATACCGAACAAGTCAATCGTTTACTAATTTGATTATAGGCGAACAGTTTTTCGTTCGTCTGTTTCAAACATTCAATGTCTTCTCTCACCACACAACATTGACCTTAGCGCCGTGATGCTGCTTTGCATCAAGTATATAGACTGTCTATATAGGATGAGGCCATGCAGTGTGTTAATATCGGTTAGTGTTAAAGAGCGATGTTTGTATATAGGCCTTCTGAGTAGAAAGGGAGGGAGGGATGACCAAGTTGTCCACGACGGCGCAATGGTTTGTCAGCCCACACTCGTTAGTTTCACCAAAGCTGTAACTCTTACATCACATTGGGCGTTTCTCTCATACAGTTCAAAGCAGACTTAACCCCGCGATAACCCTATAACACTACTTTCCTATTTCAAAAGGGTACAACACTACTTTATAACTGTTACATTGATATAATCACAACATGATTGTTTTATATAAGGGATTATAGCTGAAATGGATAGAATTATCATTAAACCGTCCGCATGTTATCAGAAATGAGCGGGCCACTATAACTTGTTAATTGCTTGTCATAATGCTTGACGACGGGCCATTATCACGCAGGTTGTTAGGTGACGTCATAGGGTAGGTGACGTCACGTTCAATAGTGACGTCATCTGTTTGTTCTATGACGTTTCCATATTTGTAAAAGTGGGTCAGTGACATTCGTGTTGATTGCACTAAATGTTTCGAAACCGAAATTGTTTATTTTTATTTGATTACAAGTTCTATCCATTTTAGCTATAATAACGGTAATGCTATTTTTCAGGGCATTATCATTTGCAGAAGCCCTCGGTCTTTTCAACTGCCCTCCTTCGTACCCTCGGGCTTCTGCAAATGATAATGCCCTGAAAAATAGCATTACCCTTATATCAACAACGTCCCAAAAGGTGATTGAATACACACGAAGAGGAATATGTATCTAACGAAATACTGACATACGGACGTTAACGTCTAGTTCTGTTTATACACATGCGGCAGCACAGCTATACAAGTAGTAACAATGACACATGTTTGACGTCGTATCTATTATACACTTACTTCCTGCTGGTGGTAAACATTACCGTACATTTCTGTACTTTGTATACCCCAAGCTGTAACATGGGCGTATATGTCACCACCGGCCGTGTCCTTGGAGTGTCGTTCACGATCTCTAATAAACTCCTTGACTGACGCATCTTTATGGGAGACTAAACTTGAATAAATCTGGTGTAAATGGAGGTTTCATGTCAGACTCGCTATGTAGATTAGCGTGACATAAACCGACTTGTAAACGATTTATACTTTCAGCTGGTCTGTTTAGGTGATGAAAACGGCAAGGAGGGCAACAGATGAGGATGAGGAAGTAGTGGACACGGTGTTAAGAGTATTGAGTAATTATAAGACAAACAAGTCTGTGCTGTTTCACATGAAGGATTGATGGCGTTTGGGGCATGTTCGTGTACCAATTTCTGTGCAACAATAAAAAACGAGTTATTTCGATTACATATTTTTTTCTAAATATCTAGATTTGTTTACATTTATCTGTGGAGGTAGAATTCAGAATAATTAAATTGACAATTCTTTATATAGAGACAAGAATTTTGTTTAAAAGCTTCATGCATGCCTATATACATATACACTTCTTCGTGAATCTGGACCCGACCGGTCCGGAAATCCAACCCTCTAAAACATTACACTGTAGTCAATATCACATAACCCTGAAAATGTCTACCCGGGCGTTATATTAGGAAAGGTACAGTCGGGAATAACGAGACTTCACAGGATATGTGCCTGTGATATCAGATTATACACAAAAGCCAGATTGGTAGTCATACAAAGACCAATAGTATTTCTAACAAAGCCACTGGGGCATAACTCAAAGGCTGCTATCGAGGATACCACAACCATCATCTTCCTGGTTGGATATGAATGTCACCAGACATATATCACTTTAGAAAAGTACATCTAAAATTTGATCATCATGGACGTCTTGTTGACTCTCGTTGTCCTCACACTGCCGTCAGTAATCTCAGGTAAGAACTCAGCCATATACTGGTAATTATGTTACCTAATACACTGTGTAACAGGCGCTCAGTCAACATTGCTCTTCACGTGTCAGTGATCTATATATACTGGTTCTGTACGTATGCCACCGAGACATTAGGTTATCTATCGGTGTGTAAACTATCTACAAGTGAGCAGATGTCCGAGTTGCCCATAAAGACCCCTGATAGTTTTCACGTTTTTATTTGTTGAACGAGTTCATTGCAGTACATATGCTGAGTATTCTATCAAATTTGAGACTCTTATGTGTTGTTGGTCAGAGAACATAATAAGATCTACAATATTCATGAAGTTAAATTACGATTCGATTGATCCCCCAGCCGCCGAGATCAAAATAGTCATAATAATAGGCTATTTATATTGCGCATATTTCCACACCACTGCTGAAAGCGATATTATTACCCCGGTCACTGGATCAATGTGCACTCAAGAATCATTCTCAGCTCCCTGGGGAGTATTCAACCCTCAGATGCCTGCTAGAAGGTTAACAACCACATGTTCATCCCATCCTTTCGGGTACCCATTCACTGCTGGGTGAAAAGAGGCACATTTCGAACAAAGTCACTTGCCCAAGGAGACGCCACATGTGTTACATGTGCTTCAGGCTGTGGCAGTACGGAAGTCCTAGAAACTGTCAGAAGCCAAGCTTCCGAATCGCGGTCACCCATCCAAGGAAGCTCCGCGACCGACGCTGATAGGGTATCTCTTTCCAATACCTTTTGCGATCGCATCCTTCTCAATAGTATGTATACCACCCGACGATGTTTCATAGACTAAATGAGTTATATGTAAAATTGTATACTTGCACATATATAATGCGTTCATTTGACGTAACTCCGATCCACCCCGTCCTGATTTCTACGTCCCATTTCCCAGACGTCCAAATGTGGAAGTTGTAACACAATAGTGTACTTATAAGACATACCATTGTCGCTTCCTTTTCCCCAGCGCGAAACGAGTCTGTTTTAATAGATGCGCTATTGTTTCATTATTATCACTGTTAGATGATTTAAATATGGTGGTAAAATGTTTGCATTATGTAAGCGAACATTCTGGGAAATAAAGACGATCTGTGATTGTTACCGATTCTAGAATTCTTACATACAAAACACAGTCGACTGTGTCGTAGGGAGTCACTCATCACTTCTACTATAACCAAGGCTGCTGAGATATTGTTGATACGACATTTATTGTACCTCAATCACTTAGAGCACAGAAGTATCATTATAATAATCTCCTTAAAATCAAATCTTTTACTCCGATACCTCTCTCGTGATGATCTGAGACAGGAGGTCGAGTCAGATGATCAGCCAATCAGCGACGAGGCTTTTACACTTTCGGCACGTGTGAGCGAAGCATCCAGACAATCATATCGGAATTCTGTAACTCGAAAAGGAACATAATCGAGGAGATCCGATTGCTAAAAAGAGTAAAGCTGCGCTTATATATAGTTGTGGATATTTTAAATCATTATACCGCTATGGCATCTACACCCAAAAGGGTGCATTAATCGAGGGTCATTTTGTTTTCTGTGGTGGATTTCTTTTGCTGAGATCGAAATTTCCGAATCTTGGGGATAGAAAAATAACCCATATGTGTAAGAGAAAGCTGACATCTGACTAGGCCTCGCATCCTTCATCAGTTTGATTGTGCGGTCACAGCTCGCTCAGGCTTCACCTGACACGACCTTCTGTTGAGTATTGGAGTAGAAAATCTGATTTAAGTGAGATTGATATACATAAAGAAACCCAGTAGGTAAAATCTCTGTTTGAAATCTTTAAATCAATTTGAAACAAACAACGAAAGTAATAGAAAACTATAACACTGCAGAATATTTAGTGTCTCACATCACATCATTCAAGACAGTGTTCATCTTCCACCAATTGAATTTTCTTATGTTATAAACATGATATTTGGAATCTGAAGTAAAGTATAAACATTATGTTGTTACGGAAGCATATGAAGAGACATGTGACGTTTTTTTGGCAAAAATGCATTTCGGGATTTCTACAATATGTTTTTTAATGTACCGCTATATGTACCTGTCGGGTGTCACCTTAAGAACATAACAGTTTATTTATTGTCAAGATGTACAAAGGCATGGATTAGTTCCAACGTCATATAATGTGTGTCTACAGCACAGATTAATGCAGGGTCAGGGTTGGACGACTATTACATCAAATATAACTAGTATGATGATACTATGTCCCCTTGAAGTTTTGGGTCTTCTATTTCTTTTGTCACGCAGATCTTCAGACCTCGCTGTTCCTAAGGGACACCGACCAGCACACACTGGATTTGTCTACAACCTAGATCAACAATCGGGGGTGGGGGTGGGGGTTGGGGGTTGGGGGGGTGGGGTGGGGTTGGGGGGGTGGGGGGGGGGGGGGGTGGGGTTGGATATTTTCATATATAAACTGTCACAGACAAAACAGGTGGATTTGTTCCCTGCGGGCTGGACACAAAAGTGTGATACATACTATATAGCTGAGATATTGCCGACACCACATTAATTCTACCTCACTCACTTCGATCACAGAAATAACATAATCTTTACTCCTACACGATTCCTCTCTGCTTAGAGATCTGAGGTCGGGGGTCGCGTCAGGTGAACTTTCTAATCAACCAATCAGCGTCGAGCCTTCCATATTCTCGGCACCAGTGACAAAAGCATTCAGACAAGCAAATTTGATTTCTGTAACTCGAAAATGAATCTAACTGAGGAGTTCCGACTGCTAAAGTGTATAACCGCAATATTGCTGTTGTGGATATGTTTAACATCCACCCGGCATCTACACCAAATACCGGGCACTATCGAGGGTATGTTTGTTGTCTATGGTGGTACAGAAACGAAGTGGAACAGAAATAAAGCAGATACCTCTTACAAAACTTACATATGCTCGTCTCACGCATCTTAATTGTGTTGATTGGTCGGTCAAAGCTCGCTCAGCTTTTACCTGACGTTACCGTCTGCGGAGATGTAAGGGAGTAAATTTGAGTGAGACTGATATATACAAAGAAACCCAATAGTTAAATACACAACTCTACCACTACCGACTGATCTTTGTCATACATCGAATCATTTATGACACTGTTTATTGTCTTCCACCAACTGAATGTCTTATGATATAAACATGATAATTATTTAGAATCTAACGAAAAGTATTAACATTGTGTGTTTTTTGTCGGTATGGATATCTGTGTATGTGTACATGGTGTACTGTATTTCCGTGTAACTGTAGGGTGTGACCGTTAAAACATAATTGGTATTTATTGTCAAGGTCTACAGACATGCTCCTCTGGGACAGAGACAAGCTCTAAACAAATCCTACTGAATGTGTCTACAACACAGATCAACACAGGGGGAGGGATGTGTTCCTGTAGACTGACCGTGTCACAGACAGCACAGGTGGAGATGTTCTCTAATAGCTGGACACAACAGTGTGATACATACATGACTATACAGAAGTGGAGGACTAGTTCAGAGTGTAAAAATGGTATTGTTCAAACTATACCTGGACGGTCTCAGACTGTCAACACCGGTGAGGAGGTATGGATACTGGTGGTGGCTACGCCTGGAGCCAGAGGACTGTCAGGACAGCTGCAGTTCAAGCTTAAATCATCGTCAGGTGAGAGATGTGAGGGTTAAAAAACAATCGAATTGATGATATTGTTTTGACATAAAACTGTATTAATTATGTACATATTGAAATAGATGTATATATTCCATCAACAAATAAACACTGGTAGACAATGTACTACAAATGGAGTTGTTCAAACTGTACCTGCACAGTCTCTCACCATCAACCCTGGTGAGGAGATATGGGCACGCGTGGTGGCTACTTGGCCTGGATCCAAAGGGTTGTCATGACTGACGCAGTTAAAATAAAAGGCGTTTCAGGAGTGAAAATAAACCTGATGTATTATGTTAATGGTGTTCGCAAAGACACTTTAATTTTGCTTCCTCAAAATCCTTAAGAAATGTGTTTTCTATAAATGCAAAGTACCCTTGTATTAGTACATTGTATTCTGATTTCGCAATAACTAGTAAATAAGTCCATACAATTTATGTTTTGTTGCAAGGGGATTCTAAAAACAATTGAAGGCAATAGTAGTGATGCTTCGTTTTTATTTCAACAGTCCAGCTTAACATAGAGTGTTTCGTGCCAAACACTAACAGTTACACAACTACAACTCCTTCAACAACCTTGGTTTCAACACTACCGTTGACATTTACCACTACCACTTCTCCCAAAACAACAGCAGTAACGATAACTACAGAGAGTCTTACATCTACACCCCCGCATGCCACAGAGACACTGCGACCAACCGCCATCACTCCCCAAGGACAGACCACATCTGTGTCTACTGGATTAACTGCAGGGCCAGGGACTACTAAAGCGACATTCACAACAACTCAGATCTCCATGAAAGGATGTCAATCGCGTAACAATGACTTTCCAGGTACAACTTCCTAAATGTTTCTACGCATATGGTTCAAAGCGTGGCACGCACTCATGTATGTAATGCCCTCATGATATGACCTTATTTCTCTGCAATCGGTTGATAGATTATTCAGCAATAATTTTATCAACTCAATGATAAAATATGTTCATGTACTGATGAAAAGTATTATTGAATGTTCCTTGAAACTTCATTGTATTAAGGGAATATTTCCGTGATGTCTGAACCAGGAAATGACAATATTTCAATTACACTGCAGTGTGTAATTATAATCCGAGAAGAAAACCCAAAGTGATGCTCGTGGTAGCTTACAGTGAGTGAGTGAGTATGGTTTTACGCCGCGTATAGCAATATTCCAGCAATATCACGGCGGGGGACACTAGAAATTGGCTTCACATATTGTACCCATGTCGGGAATCAAACCCGGGTCTTTGGCGTGACCGGCGAATGTTTTAACCACAAGCTTACCCGATCGCGCCTGTGGTAGATTACATGTGTAATGTGAAGCACAGAAGCATCCATATCTTACTGACAAACCAAGGGTCATAATCGAAAAACATCATGCTGAACATATAACACTTCGGAGCAGTCCTTGGATCTTGGAAGTAATTAAGACATGATACAGATTCATCCCGAGTGTCCACATAGTAAGGTGTTATAATGTCTGTGATTGAGACAACATTATGGGTTTTATTGCAGGTGGTATCTTTGCTGCTGGAGTTGCTACAGGTGCCGTGCTGGACGTCATTGCTGGTGCAATATACGTCGTCACATCAAGGTACAGACATTGAAGCCAAATGACTCTAAATGTATGTTTTGTCAACACAAATGGTCAAGGCTGATCGGTACATGTAGACAAACAGGGAGATTATATGTGGCCGTTGATATTAGTGGAAAATGTTGCTTAAATTATACATGATTAATTATGGTTTGTTTTACAGAAGATGGTGGAGGTCCCGCCAGGAGAAGTCTGATGACATTCCAGTCTCTGAAGTCCACCCCACCTACTCAGGGCTCAAACCCAGAACACAGGAGCCGAGTAACACCTATGACATAATAGATCCAAACCCCTCAAAGGGCACAGCCAATCCATACATCAATGTGCCATAGATATACTGCAATTTGTTTTGCGTCTTGTTTAACGAGAGAAGGGTTAATCTTGTACCCCTGTTACCACAATTATTTTAACATTGATTGGATGCACCTAACATATTCAGTCTCACTGTATGTTGTGTGTATATGAACAAACGCATGCGTTCAAATCTGGAGAATGTGTTTCACAACGGGTGGATATGGACTTCCGTACATGTGCATGTAGATCCAAGGACTTTGTATCACACGCCAGGACTAATAAGGACATTACGTGCACTGCAAATCAAATACATGCCTACGCCTGAAGTTGAAAGCCAAGAGAGTTAACGCAGCGAGTGAGAGATCTGGGTTTAACGCCAACTGTAGAAATATTCCAGCAACATCTTGGCGGGCGACACCAAGGCCTCACACATTGTATCCATGTGGGAATCGAACATGGAGCTTTGGCGTGACGACCGTATGCTTTAACCACTAGGCTATCCCATCGCCCCTAACACAGTGGATCCTGATCACATGCACAGGAATAATTCATAATATCATTACACGTTGTTCATGTGTCTTCATTCTTGTCACCGTCCGTGGATATCCGTTACCATTCTTGTGGAAGGGAGAACTAATGTCGTCATTGTAATACCGAACAAGTCAATCGTTTACTAATTTGATTATAGGCGAACAGTTTTTCGTTCGTCTGTTTCAAACATTCAATGTCTTCTCTCACCACACAACATTGACCTTAGCGCCGTGATGCTGCTTTGCATCAAGTATATAGACTGTCTATATAGGATGAGGCCATGCAGTGTGTTAATACCGGTTAGTGTTAAAGAGCGATGTTTGTATATAGGCCTTCTGAGTAGAAAGGGAGGGAGGGATGACCAAGTTGTCCACGACGGCGCAATGGTTTATCAGCCCACACTCGTTAGTTTCACCAAAGCTGTAATACTTGCATCACATTGGGCGTTTCTCTCATACAGTTCAAAGCAGACTTAACCCAGCGATAACCCTATAACACTACTTTCCTATTTCAACAGGGTACAAACACTACTTTATAACTATTACATTGATATAATCACAACATGATTGTTTTATATAAGGGATTATAGCTGAAATGGATAGAATTATCATTAAACCGTCCGCATGTTATCAGAAATGAGCGGGCCATTATAACTTGATAATGCCTTCATATTGCTTGACGACGGGCCATTATCACGCCCGTTGTTAGGTGACGTCATATGATAGGTGACGTCACGTTCAATAGTGACGTCATCTGGTTTGTTCTATGACGTTTCCATATTTGTAAAAGTGGGTCAGTGACATTCGTGTTGATTGCAATGAATGTTTCAAAACCGAAATTGTTTATTTTTATTTAATTACAAGTTCTATCCATTTTAGCTATAATAACGGTAATGGTATTTTTCAGGGCATTATCATTTGCAGAAGCCCTCGGTCTTTTCAACAGCCCTCCTTCGTACCCTCGGGCTTCTGCAAATGATAATGCCCTGAAAAATAGCATTACCCTTATATCAACAAGGTCCAAAAAGGTGATTGAATACACACGAAGAAGAATATGTATCTAACGAAATACTGATATACGGACGTTAACGTCTAGTTCTGTTTATACACATACGGCAGCACAGCTATACAAGTAGTAACAATGACACATGTTTGACGTCGTATCTATTATACACTTACTTCCTGCTGGTGGTAAACATTGCCGTACATTTCTGTTCTTTGTATACCCCAGGCTGTAACATGGGCGTATATGTCACCTACGGCCGTGTCCTTGGATCGCCGTTCACGATCTCTAATAAACTCCTTGACTGACGCATGTTTATGGGAGACTAAACTTGAATAAATCTGGTGTAAATGGAGGTTTCATGTCAGACTCGCTATGTAGATTAAGCGTGAAATAAACTCACTCACAAACGAATTATACTTCCAGCTGGTCTGTTTAGGTGATGAAAACGGCAAGGAGGTCAACAGATGAGGGTGAGGAAGTAGTGTAAACGGTGTTCAGAGTATTGAGTAATTATAAGACAAACAAGTCTGTGCTGTTTCACATGAAGGATTGATGGCGTTTGGGGCATGTTCGTGTACCTATTTCTGTACAACAATAAAAAACGAGTTATTTCGATTACATATTTTTTGGACTAAATATCTAGATTTGTTTACATTTATCTGTGGAGGTAGAATTCACAATTATTAAATTGACAATTCTTGAAATAGAGACAAGAATTTTGTTTAATAGCTTCATGCATGCCTATATACATATATACGTTAATCTGGACCCGACCGGTCCGGAAATCCAACCCTCTAAAACATTACACTGAAGTCAATATTACATAACCCTGAATATGCCTACCCGGCCGATTTATTAGGAAAGCTACAGTCGGGAATAACAAGACTTCACAGGATATGTGCCTGTGATATCGAATTATACACAAAGGCGAGATTGGTGGCCACACAAAGACCTATAGCATTTCTTACAAAACCACTGGGGCATAACTCAAAGGCTGCTATCGAGAATCCCACAACCATCAACTTCCTGGTTGGATATGAATGTCACCAGACGTACAGCACTTCAGAAAAGTACATCTTAAATGAGATTATCATGGACGTCTTGTTGACTCTCATTGTCCTCACACTGCCATCAGTAATCTCAGGTAAGAACTCAGCCATATACCAGTAATTATGTTACATAATAGACTGTGTAACAGGCGCTCAGTCAACATTGCTCTTCATGTGTCAGTGATCTATATATACCGGTTTTGTACGTATGTCACCGAGACAGTAGGTTATCTATCGGTGTGTAAACAATCCACATGTGAGTAGATGTCCGAGTTGCCTATAAAGACCCCTGATAGTTTACACGTTTTTATTTGTTGAACGAGTTCATTGCAGTACATATTCTTATTATAGTCGTACATGTATGTTAAAGTACGATTTGCTTCATCACCCAACCACCGAGACCAAAATAGTCATAATAATAGGCTTTTTATATTGCGCATATTTCCACACCACTCAGGGCCATGCTCAAAGCGCTATTATTACCCCGGTCAAAATCATTCTCAGCTCCCTGGGGAGTATACAACCCAAGATGCCTAGGGGGTTATCAACCACATGTTCATCTCATCCTTCCGGGTACCCATTCACTGCTGGGTGAGAAGAGGCACATTTCGAACAAAGTCACTTGCCCAAGGAGACGCCACATGTGTTACATGTGCTTCAGGCTGTGGCAGTACGGAAGTCCTAGAAACTGTCAGGTGCCAAGCTGCCGAAACGCGGTCACCCATCCAAGGACGCTCCGCGACCGACGCTGATTGGGTATCTCTTTCCAATACCTTTTGTATACTTGCACATGTATTATGCGTTCAATTGACTTAATTCCACCTCGTCCTGTTTTCTACATCCCATTTCCCAGACGTCCAAATATGGAAGTTGTAACACCATAGTGTACTTACAATACATGCCAGTGTCGCTTCATATTCCCCAGCGCGAAACGAGTGTGTTTTAACATCAGCGCTATTTTTTAATTATTATCCCTGTTAGGTGATTAAAATATGGTGGTAAAATGTTTGCATTGTGTAAGCGAACATTCTGGGAAATGAACCGATCTGTGATTGTTACTGATTCCTGAATTCTTACATACAAAATACAGTCGACTGTGTCAAAGGGAGTCACTCATCACTTCTACTGTAACCAAAGAGAATATGTTTGCTGAGCTATTGCTGATACGACATTAATTGTACCTCACTCACTTGGAACTCAGAAGTATCATTATCATTATCTCCTTAAAATCAAATCTTTTACTCCGATACCTGTTGTTTTCTGTGGTGGATTTCTTTTGCTGTGATCGAAATTTCCGAATCTTGGGGATAGAAAAATAACCCATGTATGTAAGAGAAAGCTGACATCTGACTTGCCCTCGCATCCTTCACTTTGATTTGGCGGTCACAGCTCGCTCAGGGGATCACCTGACGCGACCTTCTGTTGGGTATCGGAGTAGAAAATCTGATTTAAGTGAGATTGATATACATAAAGAAACTCAGTAGGTAAAATCTCTGTTTGAAGTCTTTAAATCAATTTGAAACAAACAACGAAAGTAATAGAAAACTGTTTAGTGTCTCACATCAAATCATTCAAGACAGTGTTCATCTTCCACCAATCAAATTGCCTTATGTTATGAACATGATATTTAGAATCTGAAGTAAAGTATGAACATTATGTTGTTACGGAAGCATATAAAGAGGCATGTGACGTTTATTCCAAAATTGCTTTTCGGGATTTCTTTTACATGTTTTTTAATGTACCGCTATATGTACCTGTCGGGTGTCATTTTAAGAACATAACAGTATATTTATTGTCAAGATGTACAAAGGCATGGGTTAGCTCCAACGTCATATAAGGTGTGTCTACGGCACAGATTAACGCAGGGTCAGGGTTGGACGACTATTTACATCAAATATAACTATGATGATACTATGTCCCCTTGAAGTTTCGGGTCTTCTATTTCTTTTGTCTCGGAGAGCTTCAGACCTAGCTGTTCCTAAGGGACACCGACCAGCCCTACACAAATCACACTGGATTTGTATACAACATAGATCAACATATAAGCCGTCACAGACAAAACAGGTGGATTTGTTCCCTGCTGGACACAAAAGTGTGATACATACTATATGGCTAAGATATTGCCGACACCACATTAATTCTACCTCACTCACTTCCATCACGTAATCTCTACTCCTACACGATTCCTCTCTGCGTGGAGATCTGAGGCAGGTGGTCCCGTCAGGTGAACTTTCTAATCAAACAATCAGCGTCGAGCCTTCCATATTCTCGGCACCAGTGACAAAAGCATTCAGACAAGCAAATTTGATTTCTGTAACTCGAAAATTAATCTAACTGAGGAGTTCCGACTGCAAAAATTTATAACCGCACATTAGCTGTTGTGGATATGTTTCTGAGCGCCATGGCATATATACCCAAAACAGGGCACTGTCGAGGGTATTTTTGTTGTCTATGGTTGTACAGAAACGAAGTGGAACAGAAATAAAGCAGATATACCTCTTACAAAACTTAAAGATGAACGACTCACGCATCCTAATTGTGTTGATTGGTCGGTCAAAGTTCGCTCAGTTTTTACCTGATCATGACGTTTCCGTCTGCGGGGATGTATGGGAGTAAACTTGAGACTGATATATACAAAGAAACCCAGTAGTTAAAAACACAACTGTACCAATACGGACTGATCTTTGTCATACATCAAATCATTTATGACACTGTTTATTGTCTTCCGACAACTGAAATGTCTTATGATATAAACATGATATTATGGATCTGACGAAAAGTATTAACATAAATTTAAAGTGGTTTTGTTTGTATGGATATCTGCGTATGTGTACATGATGTACTGTATTTTCGTGTAACTGTAGGGTGTGACCGTTAAAACATAGTTTGTATTTACTGTCAAGGTCTACAGACCTGCTCTTCTGGGACAGAGACAAGCTCTAACCAAATCCTACTGGATGTGTCTACAACACAGATCAACACAGGGGGAGGCATGTGTTCCTGTAGACTGACCGTGTCACAGCACAGGTGGAGATGTTCTCTAATAGCTGGACACAACAGTGTGATACATACATGACTATACAGAAGTGGAAGACTAGTTCACAGTGTACAAATGGTATTTTTTATACTGTAACTGGACAGACTCACACTGTCAACACTGGTGAGGAGATATGGATACTGTTGGTGGCTACGCCTGGAGCCAAAGGACTGTCTGGACAGCTGCAGTTCAGGATTAAATCGTCATCAGGTGAGAGATGTGAGGGCTAAATTATGATCGAAGTTATGATTTTGTTTTGACATAAAAATGTATTTTAATGTACATATTGATATAGATGTATATATTCCATTTAAAAATAAACACTGGTAGACACTGTTCTACAAATAGAGTTGTTCAAACAATACCTGCACAGTCTCTCACCGTCAACACTGGTGAGAAGATATGGATACTGGTGGTGGTTGTCAGGACAGCCGCAGAAGTAAACAGAAACCTTATGTATTATGTTAATGGTGTTCGCAATGAAACTTTAATTTTGCTTCCTCAAAATCCTAAAAAAATGTGTTTACTATAAATAGGAAGAACCCGTGTAATAGTATTCTGATTTCGCAAGATCCAGGAAATTATTTCATAATAATGATAT